ACTCTACGCCAGCCCCAGTCAAATGAACCCAATAAGTAATAGAAGTCACTCATCAATAAGAGGCTTGTATTGAGGTACGTATTCTTTGAAATTTAATCACGAACCAGTTAATTAATTTTTAGGAACTTAATGGGACAGATGGAGCCCAAATACAATATACAATTTAGTCAGAGTTAAGAAAATCTTTGGGTTGAAAACAGAAACACGGCAAAATAATAAGCAACCAATTAAACAGAATCTGTCCTTTTCTTGCGATCAGTTCAGTCTACTGACTACTATTCAGTGGTTTGAGATATGGTCATAGCCCAACCCAACAACTATTGAAGGTTGGAGCCCCACCTCACTCTTCTTCTGGCCCAAAAAGAAGCGTGTTCATATGATTCTGTCTAGAGACTCGTCATAAGAATCTCCCAAATGTGCAGGTTGAGGCAGCCAGATGCTTTCAAATTCCATCTCCATGGACCATGCATCGTCCAAAAAATAGACACAATCAATGCGTACATTTTCCACGGCATGCGGCCATGGACTGCAACATTATTGGAACCCGCCATATGACTCTCGATGGGCCAATGCCATGCGCACCAGTCTTTACTGCACAAGAATTTGACATGCATATATCCTTTTCAAAGTTCCACTTGGTAAGAAATTGGAAATTATACAGACGACTTCAACGTAGAAAAAGGGGAATGGGACATTTGCATCAACCGACAAATTAGTAAAGATGAGGACATCCTCTAGGCTAGCCCCCTGAGCCACGGCGTGACCCTACCAGTCCTCATTCCTTACATGGATAATATGCCTACAAAACGCCAGGCTTGTTAGCAGTTTTTTTTTTTTTTTTTTTTTTTTTGGTCAATGGCTTGTTAGCAGTTTATTGACTCATAATTCAACATATAGTTTTGTAGAATATATAGACCATACTACACGGAATTAAGTTGTGCATATAGTATGCAATGCCATTCTTACATGAGAGGATGCTTATGATGCAAGTCTCCTTGGTAATGGTGGCGGCCGCGGCTACAGCAGCTTAGTTAGCTCTACAATTACATTCAAAACTATTTTGGGGGTTTATCATTTTATGACTACTATTCATAATACACTTATTCTACACGTAGAGATAATGAAGATAGTGAAAAATTTTAACCTAATGAGAACTCTGTGTGATACTAAATCACTCATGTATCTTACCATACAATGTATAAAGTGTAAAATATTGTAGTAAATCATTATATATAAATGATTATGGTGTATTTAATATTCTTTCATTAATTACTACATATTTTCTACAGTCGCATTGTTTGTCAGTTCACTATATAATTAACTTAAATCACTTAACCCATCATGCAATGCATTTCCTTCCAATTTTTTGTGATAAACTAATAGATAATTGAATGAATAAACATCCTCCAAAGTTTCAATAAAAAATTTCAAGTTTTTATTACAATTTCCGTGGTTTTTATTCAATTTTTACCAAATTTCCATAGAAATTTTTGTATTTTTAGACCACCGATATTCCCGATACCATCGATATTTTAGACCTTGGTTGGGATATATATGTTACTTTTCAATTCAAGGTGATTTGTAAAAACCAATTAAAAAAAAAAAAAAAAAAAAAAAAAAAAAAACCTTTAATTGCAAATGCGTAGAATATGTCGTTGGATCTAGAATTGTTGTTTGTCACATCCTCGTTTAAAAGTATTTGTCCTTTATATGTACGGAGTTACGGAGTCATTTCTCCATCCACATATATTATAATACTAATAAACTAATAAAGAGATGAAATAGATGTTGTTGCAAGAAGCAATCCATGCCTACAGGCTACCACATTTCCCTATATATAATGCTCTCGGTCAACTTAATTCAATAAATGAAGAGGATTAAATAATACAAGTTACTAAATTAAATTTATTTATATAAAGTATCTAATCTACATGTAGGATTAATGAAAGAAAAATTCTACGTCTTAAGCAACTTTTTTTGAACTGCCACTGTATATGTAAATTCGTTTATTTTTCTTTAAAAACTTCCCACCGCCAATCATATCTCAAACATATTTCACGTTAGGCATTAATCACACATTTTGGAGACATTACATTTTGCATTCCATTGGTACGCAATGCATCGACGTTGTTGAGATGCTTTAAAATTCTATCTCCATCATGGGACATGGATGCATGCATCGATCATCATCATGTGGGAGATGGAGCCAGCCATGGCAATCCAACAAGAAATAATAGTCTGCAACATTATTGCAGTTAACGCACTAATTTGTAATAATGATGTACGAGGCGGACCATGTGTTCCCTCGAACCTAATCATATGAGTGACTCGTGAATCACGATGAGCACCCTCGTGAAAGGTAAGTTGCAACTTGCAAGTTGTAATTACGACAAATATACTGATGCCGAAGTCGAACCCCAATCATGTGAAATTTCAGTTTATAACTATAACTACAAAGCCATGTGAGTGAAGCAGCTGGAAAGGAGGAAAACGCGGGCTGCTGATTTCTCCTCCTTCACGGTAAGCAAGAGAGAGCACGGGTCCTTTTCCCCAAGTCTTTCAACAGACTTTGAGAGCTTTCCACACGGAGAGAAACATTAGAGAGCATCAATTTTTTTATTATTTTAATTGGCTGCTAACGTCATAATAATGACATCAGCATTATGTCACTTGCCTAGACAGCAGCACATGCTGTAATTGCCTGTGGGCTTGCCCGGGTTGGTGGGCCACACGTCTTGCCCTTGCATGCTGGAGCCGTCACGCAAGCCTAGGCCCTCTTTTGCCCGGGAGTTGATCTGACGATTATATTCCTCATAAATGGGCGCGTGATCTCACGTCACGAGATTAAACTATTTTCTTGACGGAAAGTCATGGCAGAGGCTATTTAAGAGCATCCATATTGATGTCAGGCTTTAAGGACGCAATCTGATAGTTTCGCAAATGTGAAAGATGTTTTGTGATAAAAAGCTTTTTTTTTTTTTTTCTCTCTCACTCAACAACCTTATTTTCCCAATCAAAAATACTTTTTTTTTTAATTCCCTCCAAAAGACTAGGTGATGTGTGTCATGGGTGCTTCATGATCATGACTAATATATGAAAAAGCTGTAAAAGGATTAACCATGCATGCATGTATGCAGGTATATACATCGACGTCCAAATAATTGGAATTTTAGGTGGGACTAACCATGCATCATGCATGCATGTATGTATGTATATGCATCGACGTTCAATATGGGATGCTTATGCAACTTTCAATGTTGCTAGTACTTTTACTAGCGGTAACAATTGCTGTAGCTGTAGCCAGTGCGGATCTAGAAATTTTTCAGGAAGGGGCAATAAATAAAAGACTAAAAACACAAAAATAATTAAATAATTAAACAACCAAATACCTTTAGAATCTAACGAAGATTAATCTAAATAAAAAAAATCTAAAAAAATTAATTTCAATTAATCTAATTGAAACATATCAAATTATCAATTAAACAAATAAATCGGAATTGATCATCTATTCATGTGCTATTGTATTAATCATACAAAATACAAAGAGAGCCAAATCAGTAATAATAATATATATATTTTGTGGTCATAAATTGTGATTTCATTAAATGACTTTAGTAGTGGCAAGGTTCCAAACATTAAAATAGATGCTAAGTGCAGTGATTCTATTGGGTGAATGAAAATGGTAGAGATTATATGGAATTAAATTATAAGGCAGAGTTTTGGGGATTTTACAAACCAAATGGTGGTGTCTTTATTGTATGAAACCAGACTACACGAAACACATCGTTTCATTAAAAAAAACCCACGCATCTCAATCCGACGTCGTTCACTTAAAACCTAGAGGAAAACAAAAGTTGAGTCAGGGTTGGGTCTTCTTCTTCGAGAGGAATAAGCCATTGACGGCGCCTCATAGAGCTTACATACCATAGTTGCTGTGGGCATTAGCAGAGGGGCATTTTCAGGCACCTCCAAAGTTTTTCCGGCGAAGGGAGGTGCAGCTGCACCTCCTTGCGCCTCTGTAGATCCGCCAGTGGCTGTAGCAGCAGCAACAACAAGAACACGCGCAAGAGGACTTAGTTCAAAATTTTAAATTAATTTCAAAAAGGTTTTTCAAAAAATTAATGTTATTTAACGGTAAATTAGAGGTGTCAAACAAGCCTTGTCGAGCCGACCTTGCCCGTTTAGAATAAGACCATTTAATAAACATGTCGTGTCAGACTCACCCATTTTGAAAAATTATCAATCTCGGTTCGAGTCCACGGGCAGTGCTCGTGCCAGGCCACTAAATGGGTCGATATGAGCCTACGCCAAATTTAACTTATTTATTGTAATTTTTTTTATAACTTCATTTAATTCTTTTTGCAATTATGTATAGACTAATAAGATTTATTTTTTGTTAAAAAATTAGTCAATAATTTTATTTAAAGTACATTTAAATAAAAAATGACTAGATTATTGTTTGGGTTTTTAAAATTTGAAATTGGAAAGACTAAATCATTATTTTATATATAAAGAAAACATTAATTTCAATTTTTTTAATTAATTTCAAAAAGGTCTTTAAAAAATATATTTATAACGTTATTTAACGGTAAATCTAACAGATTGGATCACATTGACTAACGATACTAAACACATGGACTAAGTTGACTAACATGGTAAAACCCAGAGATTATTTTGACATTTGAACTTTTATTTTTGTTAACTTTTTAAAATTAATTTTTGTGTGTGTTCCAAAAATGAACCCAAGCGGGGCTCGCCAATCGATGGATTTTTAAAAATTAGTCGTCAATGCGCTGGCGTGTTACAGGTGCACTCAGCCAAAAAGAGAAGCTAAAATTCCAGGAAGCAACAGCAGGGACGACCTCAGCATGGACTTGGGCCGGAAAAAAATTACATTCACAGACAAATAAGTAGTATATAAACAGTACAACGAGAGTAGAAGGAAGGAAGGCACGGCCTTACAAGGGAAGAGTAGGCTTACTATGCAAAACTCTTTGCTAATGGTGGGAGTACTGGTTGCATTATTAGTAGCCGCGGTTACAACAGCAGCACCTCAAGCCCACCCGCCTCGGCGGTGCCTGAACCAGAAGTGTGGTAATGTGAGCGTTCCATATCCATTTGGCATAGATTCAGGTTGTTACAGGGAAGAAAAGTTTTTTATCAATTGTTCCCAATCTACCAATCCCCCAATTGCATATTTGGGGGAAGGTAATCTCCCTGTGACTAACATATCACTTGAGAAAGGTGAGTTGCAAATACAGATGCTTATTACCAAAGATTGTTATGACCAACAGGGCGAGCAAACCAATGACAGCCAAGCCTTCTCTTCGATCAAGATGGCTGAATTCACCATATCCGCTACCAAAAACAGGTTCATGGCTGTTGGTTGCGACACTAATGCAATTTTTGGAGGCTACCGAGAAACAGAACAGTACATGAGTGGGTGCACATCTTTTTGTCAGAGCATTCCCAGCGTTAACGACTCTTGCTCCGGCATCGGGTGTTGCCAGACTTACATCCCTAGCGGACTCACAAATCAGAATATAACATTGGAGAGCTTTTACAATCACAAATATAGCTGGAACTTCAACCCCTGCAGCTTCGCCTTCGTTGTGGAAAATGGCCAATTCACATTCTCCGGGGAGACAAGTTTTCAAGTACTTAGCAACACTAAAAGACTTCCAATGATTCTCAATTGGGAAATTGGTAATGAGTCATGTAGTGCAGCTAAAAAGAGAGTGGATTATCCATGCCATAACAAAACTACCAAGTGTGTCGACCGGATCATCCATAACAAGCCTGCATCGTCTGGTTACTTTTGCCAGTGCTTGCCTGGATACCAAGGGAACCCTTACCTCCCAGATGGTTGCCAAGGTATATTATATGTACCATCTTTATATACATACCCATATAATATAATACATATATATAGCTATATATATATATATATATATATATATATATATATATATATACAGAGAGCTCCCATAGAGAGATCTCTCAAATACTTT